GAATGCCGCGACTTCGCCACCCATGTGCTGAGCACGATCCACAACAGCGTAAATCAAAAGCATCACCTGCACAGCAAAGCAAATATCAGCCGCTGGAACGTGTTGAGCTCCCCTGACCAATCTCCAGCAGGGAACCTCAGGCAGGAGGAGAACTGGGAGACGCTGGGGGCCTTGACACTCCCGTCAACCAAGCAGATGGGGGCCGAAGGTTCCCCGGTCAAGAGCAAATCACTGTTTTGTCAGGCCAGTCAAAACCACGTGGGGAAGATGGATCCCATGGTATCAAATGGCAGCAATCAGCGGAGAGAAGTGGGGGTGGTCGTGGGGGTCCCCTCGCCGGAGAACAGTCCCGATGGGAAGCGTCGTAACGTGAGGAAAGGCTCTGGCCTCGTGGACACGCAGACCAGCTGCATCCGACAGATCCTGCTGCTGCAACTGGAACTGATTGAACAGCAGCAGAAGCAACTGCACAACAAGAGCAAAGAGATCGATGACCTCAAAGCTGAAAAAGAGATGGTACGCTGAGACTTTTGCACTTTTTTTCCCCTCCTTTTATGAAATTAAATATTAAATGATGGGCCTGTTTGATGTTAAACTGGGCGCATTCAGAGTTTCCCACTTGTTGTTTTGTAACACTTGTTTCTTGTTTCACCTATTCGTCTGAACCCGATGTTTAATACACAGCCTAACACAGGTGTGTGTTTGTAGCTAATGGCCCGAATTGAACGCATGGAGCGTCGGCTGCAGATGGTGAAAAAAGAGGGTACAAAATCACGTCCTTTTCAGACTCCTCGTCGTAAGGAACCTGAGGCTGCTGCCACAGATGATGTCCAGCAATCTGAGGGGCGGGTCCAAACTCCAAAGCAAATGCACTTTGGAAGAGGAGGAAAAAGCCTGAAAAGGTATGACCATGACTTTTTCTCTAATTATATAAAGATTTATTGCAAGGATAGTTCACCCAAAAATTCATCATCGATTACTTGTCCTCATGTCGTTCCAAACCTGTATGACTGAGTTTCTTCTGCGGAACTCAAACGAAGACATGGGGGTATGTAAATTACAACAGAATTTTCATTTGTGGGTGAGCTATCCTCAATATCTCCAACTAATGTGCTATATGGCTGTCAAAATGGCTGAAAAACTAAATTCGAATTTTGTACTTAAATATTATAAATATTCGATGATTCGATGAAATATCAATATTATTATATTCGAATTTAAAAGGCATACTTTCACTTAGGGGGAAAAAAGATTTTGGCTTCTCTTCTGAGGCCACAAGAGGGCGCATGGAGCAAAATATTACTATTGCACGTTTATTCAAAGCAATAAAATAACACGACCATCTTTGGAAAAAAAGTGCATAATGTTTAAAATAATGTTTATAAACTAAATATAATTAAGTTGCTTAAACAATTAGAAACAAAACAGCATCATGTATGTATGCAAAGTTTAATACAAAGGACCAAATAACAAAGAGTACTTTTTTCATTTAAAAACATGAAATGAAGTGGGATGGGGAAAAACCGCCATACAGTTTTGAGACATGTTTTTTAAAAGTTGAACGTATATTAATTTTACATGGCTTTCTAAACATGCGGCTCTCTTGTGCGAGACGCGAGTGCAACGGTGATAGATGTCCCTATAGAAAATGCGATAAATAAGCGTTCTGTGTGAACGGCTTCAGTTTTGCCATAAGATCTTCTCCGGGCTGTAGCCTATAGGCTAACAAAAGCATTAAAATGCAACAACACTACATCGTCATCGCATCTCGTGTGCTACTGATAAGGCTGCCTGATGCACATCTAAAATTCGAATGCAACGTTTTTGCATTGGAATGTGGATTTTTAGTTTAAATTCGACAAATTTTTATTTGACAGCCCTAATGTGCTGTAGCTAATGAAATGAGAGTTGATTAAACTAAATATGTTTTATTTTTCACCCTCTCAAAGGAGGTTTCTTTTCCAGGACTCCCGGGTGAGGAGGTCACGACGTGGGCAGCCCAGGTCACCACCACCACCACAGGATAGCCCAGCTCAGAAGGAGGAACCCCAGGAAGAGACAGAGCCTGAATTGCAGTCTCAGTCGGAGGAACTGCCCTACCTGACTACCACAGAGATGTACCTCTGCCGCTGGCATCAGCCGCCTCCATCACCTTGGCGAGACCCCTCACCTGTGCATGAGGACACAGTTGCAGGTTGGGAGAAATTAATGTAATTTCTCTGTTAAAGAAATATTTCACCCAAAAATGAAAATTTTGTCATCATTTACTCACCCTCATGTTGTTCCAAACCTGTATAAGTTATAACTTATGTTGAACACAAAATAAGATATTTTGAAGGACCAAACAGTTGATGGTTCCCATTGACTTCCATAGTAGGGAAAGAAATACTATGGAAGTCAATGGGGACTGTCAACTGTTTGATTACCAGCATTCTTCCAAATGTATTCTTTTATGTTCAACTTAAGGAAGAAACTCATACAGGTGTGGAACGACATGAGGGTGAGTAAATAATGACACAATCTTTGGATGAACTATTCCTTTAATGATTTTAATCACATATATTGATTATAAAGAAAATGTAAGATCCTCAAAAATGTATAATTATTCACCATATCATTAGTTCCTTCTTGGCGGGAGAGTATCTTAGAGCCATTGGGGCAGAAAGAGGCGTCGGACATCCCTGAGGTTAGTAAGACCCGTAAGCATCCCAAGTGGCAAAGTTCGTGTGGAGCTGTATTTTCTGTGAACCGAGATGCTGCTTCACTCTGAAACACGCAGCGCATATATATTTATTTAAAGGGATAGTTCACTCAAAAATGAAAATTCGGTTATTAATTACTCACCTTCATGTTGTTGCAAACCCGTAAGACCTTTGTTTTTGATGAAATCCGAGAGCTTTCTGACCCTACATAGACAGTAACAAAACTGACACGTTCAAGGTCCAGAAAGGTAGTAAGGACATTGTTAAAATAGTCCATGTGACATCATTGCTTCAGCCGTAATCTTATGATTACGTAAAGCTCTCGGATTTCATCAAAAATATCTTAATTTTTGTTTCGAAGATGAATGAAGGTTTTACAGGTTCAGAATGACATGAGGGTGAGTAATTTTTGGGTGAACTATCCCTATAATTAAATCACAGCCTCTTGCAATTTCATACTCGTATCACAATTTTGGTTTTATTTCAATTAAATGTTCCACTTTAATGATGCATGTAAATGCTCATACTTTCTTCTGTGCAGTGTCTAGATGATAATGTCTTTCTGAAGAGGCATTCAAAACTTGAGCTGGATGAGAAGAGGAGGAAGAGGTGATGCTTGTTTTATTTTTCTTCTATATAGCATCAAATAGACTAGAGCAGCTCTTCTCAAAGTCTGGACTCTGGTCTGGAGGGAATTCAATCCGAACCGGCCTCAACTTCGTATTTCAAGTGCACTCGTATCACTCAGACCTCCGTTGCACACACACACACACACACAGGGGCGCACAAACTAGTGTCGCACTGTTTACCGACCTTTTTGTAAGACAAAGCGCATAGCAACTAGGGACATTTTGTATAAACCTTAGCTTTCATTCAGTAGAAAAATGTCACAGGTTTCGCCCCGCGAGCGCGAGGTTTCGCCTTCCTGACGCAGCTCGCCTTTCTCGGCCGGCAGAGTTAGCAGCACATTCAACTGACTTGTGAATGAATACAATGAGTACAAAACAGCGTTTCCAGAAACCTATCACTGTTGACTGTCTGGGCATATGAACATGAATGTAGTTCGTCTGTAAATATGGACATAGTTTGTTACACAGACAGACAATTGTGCTGCATGATATATAAAATAAAGTAATAGGCCTATAATTCACTGTAGTATAACAGCGTATTGCAGTTATAATTCAAGATTTTAGCAATTCAGTTGAAGTGACTGCAGTTTACATTGAATTACTATTTCATAAACAGAACATATGTGACCCTGGACCACAAAACCAGTCTTAAACCAGTCTTTCAAAATATTAAAGCTGAATAAATAAGTTTTCCATTGATGTATGGTTTGCTAGGATAGGACAATATTTGGCCGAGATACAACTATTTGAAAATCTGGAATCTGAGGGTGCAAAAAAAATCTAATATTGAGAAAATTGCCTTTAAAGTTGTCCAAATGAAGTCCTTAGCAATGCATATTACTATTCAAAAATTAAGTTTTGATATATTTACAGTAGGAAATTAACAATATCTTCATGGAACATGATCTTTACTTAATATCCTAAAGATTTTTGGCATAAAAGAAAAATGTATAATTTTGGCAGATATTTTTTTATGCTCAAACAGCAACATTACAGACTAACTAAAGTTGAAAAAGTGAAAAAGCATAATAGGACCCCTTTAAGACTGGTTTTGTGCTCCGGGGTCACATATGTAAATGAGAACTGCTTTATTGGACATTTAGTTGTACAAAAATGCACTATGTAACAGTTCAGAGTGTAAATGCAAATGCGACGTCATGAATGTAATAATTAGCATATATAAAGTTGAATTGTTATATAAAGTTACAAGCATGTTTATTAAAAACAAGTTTTGTAATAACAATTATTTCGGACCTTTTTGACATTGATGAGAATTCAGATTCGGACCTATGAATGTAAACTTTAAAAACACCTGGATTAGAGCATTCGCAGATCTATCCCGTAATCTCATTTCTCTTTTTCAGGTGGGATATCCAGCGCATTCGTGAGCAGAGGATGTTTCAGCGCCTGCAGCAGAGGATGAACAGGAGGAAGGTCATTCAGGAGAGCGAACCAGAGCTGCTCTCCTTCTATCCAGACCCTGAGGATGGTATGTCAGCAGATGGCTTTTTTCCAGCAAGTATTTGGTCTGCTCATTTAAAGTGCTTGTTTCTGTGTTTGTCCTCAGTGGAGTCTATTATGGTGACACCCTTCCTGCCAGTGGTGGCTTTTGGAAGACCTCTTCCCAACCTGAAACAGCAGTAAGTTCATTATACGTTTTTTTGCATGTTGCTAATAATGTACATCGTGACATCTTGTTTTGATTGCAATACATATTTATTTATATTTAAACAGAAACTTTGACCTGCCCTGGCTAGATGAGCGTAGTCGTTGTCGAGCAGAGGTGACTAAGAAACGGACGCCTCATCGAACATGTCGCAAATGAAACCGTCACAAGGAAGCTCCTTCCAAAATCTTAGCCTTGTGGTCTCATCTCTCGTACACACCTATATTGCACTTTGGATCTTCAGAAGCAGATTGAAGGGTGAATTTTGGATCTCCCTAAAGCCCCCTGCTTGGTATCCATGAGAAACTGTGTTTTGCTCTGTAGTGTCTGAGAAACAAGCTCTCCCAACAACACACCCATGATCACAGTGCCAAGTGTAACACTTCAGTGTTCACGTTTGCGTCATACTTTGCAGGTAAGCTTGATCAGTATGTACCAAAGCATCTACCGTAACACATCGAGAGCTGCCGTAAAAGATCAACACTGTACATGCTGCGCTTTTTGGTGTGTTGAGTTCTCTCAGTCACATAAAGGAATAAATGATGAAAACCGGTTACAGAAGCATTTGTTGTAACATAACGCTTTTGTTCCAAGGAAATGTGTAAGATACTTGTAACTAAAGAAATTATTTCAAATATTAAAACGAGTCATATTGTGACTATACTGTGTTTTCATGTCTCTTAATGAATAATTGTTTTGAAAGCTAAATCACAGAATTCTACTTGACTTTTATGTTTGGCTAGAAAAAAAATGTACTGGAATTGGATTCAACCAGGAAACAGAGGATTGAGATTAGGAGAGGTGTGACGTGGGTCCTCTTTTCATTCTTGTAGTTCAAGACCCTTTGTTCTTCAGGCAATAGATTATGCAGAAGAAAATATGTTTTTACAAATGAATACGCTCAGCTGCAGTGTCTTGGTTCAGAATGCTGCATCATGTCAAAAGTATTTGATGCAAACAAGTTACATCACTGCAGTCATCAGTTTTAAGAGTATTATCCTATCCTTTGTGTGAGAAATTGAAATATATAAAAAATATAAGTACTGTGGACTGTGACAAGCCCTAAAAATGTCCAAAAAACATTCTACCACCATGTTACATATAAAAAGCATATCCCATATCCCTGCTGGAAAAAACAATAGAAACCATCACAGAATTTGTAATGGTTTTACTGGTTATAATGGAAACTGTAATGGTCCCTATTGGTCTCTACTGGTAATTGGTCGCCTTCTATTGGTGGCTTGTTAAAACCACTAAATCCTAATGCAGTATGTCCAAAAACACTACAGGAAACAATTTTTTAATTTTTAAAAGTTGATGGTTTGTAATGGTATTTGTAGTGGAAACCATTAGAATTTCTGTTTGCAATGCAACTTGGTATTTTTGTGCTCCAAAGTATTTCAAATAAGTGGTAATACCACTGTATTTTGTTGTACTTACCTCAAAAATTATGGAAATATAATGGTACTGAAAACTACTACTACTTTCCTGGTGCTACATGTCAACATCCCAAATTATGCCAGTACCGTGGCACATTTTGTTACCGTTTTTATTTATTAACCTCAAAAAAGGTACTGAATGATTACATAATAAATTTGTGTACTGTGGTACTCCAGAGTACTCAAAATAATTCATAGTAATATCATGGTAGTTTACTATTCTCATGTACTTACCTCAAAAAGATGAATGAATGGATATATTTTTAACAACGAGTGGAAAACAGTAATGTAACGCTGTTTTGGGCTGTTTTTTTTTTTTTATTAAACAGTACAAACAATAAAACCTTAAAGGGGTGGTTCACTGGTTTTTTTTCTAGGCTTGATTGTGTTTATGGGGTGCAGTCTAACATGTTAATGCTTCGTTTTTTTAAAAACTCATTATTTCTACTGCTTATGTTAGCTTTTAATATACGGTATTATCCTAACTAACGCTTTAATACAGTACGGCAAACGCGCGTCCATGTATAACGCTTCTCATAGCTATGTGAAAATAAGTCGGCGCAGACCACAAAATGTATCGGAGCTAGGAAGACACAAAGGATGAATACAGAAATACAGTTTTCATAGCTTTCAAATTAGCAGAACTTTGGATAATTTCCACATAACGTACTTATCTAAGTCCACTTTGAAAACAGTAAACTTTTGTATGTGAACGTGAAATTTAGCTAACAGAAAACATAAATTGATTATGTAATATTTCCCGTATTCTTTAAAACAAAAAGAAAAGTCACTTACAAAATAAGATTGAATAAACATTTAAAAAATTGTCTGTGTAGGTGCATTGCCAAAACAAATAAATGAAGTCTTCTGTGGAATGACAGAAACAGTAGCTCACTTCAAGCTCTACTGTGTTTGCTGCTAGTGATGACCGGTTCGCGAACGAATCGTTCAGTTTAACCGGTTCTTCTTAGTGAACCGGTTGGCTGCTCGTGGGTCCACTGCTATGGTCCACACAGAAACTAAACCGCGCAGATGAATGAAATTTCTCGCACTCGCGCGCGCCCCCTCTGACGCAGCAGGGAACAAGAGGATATGACGAACGCACGTGCCCCCACAATTCCGCGCGCAGATCCGCTTTCACTTCCTTGAGAGTTAAGATGGCGGACCGGCGGCGACGGAGACGGCGCGCCTCTCAGGACAGCGAGGAGGAGGACGAGTCCGCCTCGGGCTCCGAGTGCGGGAGGTCGCTGTCTGGCGGCCGGAAGCCTCGCGAAGGAGACCCCGAGCCGCTGGAGTCGCCCGCGGAGCGCGTCTGCGCCAAGAGCGTAGTACACACTGAGTCGGAGTGTGTGAGTGTGTGGCTATACATCTGCTTTTATAATCAGGGCCGATCTGAGTGTGTGACTGTTAGTGTTTCACACAGTCTAAACACGCAGTTGGTGTCATTAAATTACGAGTTAAGACGTGATAAAAGAGTAAACGTTTCATGTGATGCGCGTTTTTTGTCTGTAAGTTAGCCCAAAGAGATAAATGTTCAAGTATTTAACAGGCGCCTAGTCCTAGTTACTTAACAAGGATATACAATTCCTGGTGTGTCTGTGGTGGTTCTTTCATATAAATGTGGTGTTGACTTCATTTGACCTTTAAAATGTCTTGCTTTTCAATCATCTAACGTAACCCAGTGGTTCTCCATCACGGTCCTGGAGGCTCCCCACGTCCTGCACGTTTTGGATGTCTCCTTTATCTTACACCCATGATCCAACTCATCAGCTCAGCCTGCGTCCTAAACAGGCAACCTAAACTGAATTGTGTGTCAGATTAATAAGACCCCTAAAATGCAATGGCGGACCTCTAGAAACAGGGTTGAGACACATTGATACTTGCATGAAAGTGAGTTAGTTCTTGAGTGCAATGATGAGTGTATCTGGTCGGTGTAAAAATGCTGTGTAAGGTATTTAGGCTGTTGATAAGCAAAGTGGACGACATTTGAGGTTCCTAGGTGTTTGATATCTGATCTGTCGTTCTGTTACGGGAAGAGAAAGATCTGCTGACCGTGAAGAGGAAGTTCAGTATTGTTTTAAACTAGATGTGCTGTATGTTATGTTAACCGGTTTGCTTTTCTTGATTTGTTAATTTTGGGTCTTTAATTCTTAGGTCGAACATCTAGATGAATTTTTAATCCAGGCTTCTTGTTTATCAAGTGTGCTTGTTTGGCTGAATATTTGATTCTGTTCTTTCTTTTTAGGAAAGTGAAGATGGTGTTGGTGAAGGTGAGTCTGTTTTTTGTCTTTTTGCTGCTGTCTGTCTTCGTGACTTCAGTTTTGACGTCAAGCTCACTAGTCTACTCTCAAAAGAGACCAAAATCATTGTTATGGTTCACAAACTACACCAGTTTTAGTGCTAACAGGTTAAATAGTTATGAACTGTCACTCTTGATGACCAGATCTATAGCCATATGTTATTTGCTCTCAGAAGCGTGAACAGACCTGCTAAAATGGCTGATTTCCTTTTTTCAGCAGTCTTATCGGACTATGACAGTGCTGATCTGGAGGAGAATGGATCGCACACGGAGGTAAGTCTCTATGGCAACGCCGTTTATGGGGCTCTTTGGGAAATCAATCAGTTTTGTTAAAGACTATGCTGTGATAAATCCGTACAGATCCAGCCTGGGCTGTGTAGAGGGGGCAGAATGTCTCCATTGCAGCCGAACTGTGTTTTGCTCGGTCTTTGTGAGAGTGCTGTCCTTTCTTTATGGAGATTGTGAATCTGAGAGCATGTTTATTGTTTAACGTAGTAGCTTTAAATCTAAAGCTCAATATGGGCCTCCTGAAGTAATGATTTCGAAAGAACTGAATTAAACGAGACTTATTTGGGGAGGTTTTTGTTGAAATTGTCAAGAATATTTTTGCTCCTCTCTTGTGGCATCATGAGTACTGCCAATGTCGAGCCACATGCTGTTAGTGCATCTGTAGTCCGCATCTAATTTTAGTAGACATGATGCACTATCCACACTTTCTGCTGCTCTTCCTCCTTATGCAAGTAGCATTTTGATGATTGCGGGATCTTCAGGTAATTTAGGCGTATTGGGGAGCGCTGGGGCTCATTGCTGGGGAGGTGGTGGCGCCTGCGGGTGGAGTTGAATGGGGTTGTTGTAGTTCTCAGCTCATCGGGTTCAGTCTTGGCTGCTGCTGATGTTCCGATTTGTTTGGTGTCCTAGCAACCCATTCTACACAATCCTTACTCTTCAGACGTACGTAAAGCTGGCTTTAATTCACTGCAGACAAGCACGGTCTCCTCACAGTTTCAAAATGCTGTCTAAAGGAGATTTCCTAACAGGAACAACCAGGAAAAGGTTTATTTTTTTTACATTCTTTTTGAGTTGGACATGTTTTTGATTTGTAATGCCATAATTACTTTGTCTTGCTGAGGCCGATAATATGTAAATGGTGAAAATAACGAAATGATTCTTGAAAAAATATAGTGTGTACTGTCCACCTCTGTGTAGTGAAATCGGTTGACGCCAGTCTTTCTCCTGAAAGATTTATATTTTGCTGCTATATTATTTAACTGTTATGCACTGTCTTAGCATGTTACTTAGCATGTTATTTTGGTTTATTCTGTTTATTTTCACTTTAATTTTAGTAGGCTAATTTATGTGCGTTTTGTCACTTATAAATGTATTTTAGCTTTTTTTTTTCAGCTTTAGTCATTTCAGTACAGTTTATTTCAGTCAGCTTCCAAAGCAACATTTCTATTTAAGTTTAACTTTTTATATATGTATCTTTTTTTGTTAATAGTTAACAATAACTGTTTTGCTGATGTGAAAAAAGCTTGTTGTTTTGCTTATTCTGGTTCAAATGCGCTGATATTTTATTTGGTTATATTTTTTGGCGTGCTTGCTATGGAGCAATTACACAAATAAGTACTGTGTAATATTAATTTACATGTCTGTTTAGGGTTAGTTGCTTGAAGCTGTGCATAATTTACTGTTATTACTAGAGCTGGGCGATATGGCCAAAAAATGATCACTTTTATAATTTTGATAATTGATTAAATAAAATATATTTTTTTAATATCAGGCTATCAATAATTATTACAATAAATTTCAAATCTCTATTTATTTCAAGTTTAAAGGCAGATTTTTTGCTCCTAAGTGAGTTGTAGGAAGGAACCAGACCATTAATTGTGGTTTTAAACTACTCTTTATCGTCATAACATGACAAACACTTTTTTTTTTGACAAACACTTCATGTTTTTAAATACTTTACACGTTTCCAGTCATTTATCCTTAACAAAATCAATATCTTAATAGAGGGAAGGAACCAGACCATTAATTGTGGTTTTAAACTACTCTTTATCGTCATAACATGACAAACACTTTTTTTTTTTGACAAACACTTCATGTTTTTAAATACTTTACACGTTTCCAGTCATTTATCCTTAACAAAATCAATATCTTAATAGAAAAATTAGTTTCTCTGCATGTTCTTATGAGTGATATTGTTTGAAATCATTAAAAAAAAAAAAACTGATTTGTTTTGCCTGACTTTGATGCCTATCTTCAGCACAGTTTGCAGTGCAGGCTGCAATGTTAATATTACTTTATATATGTAGTTCAATTTAATTGAATTATTCTGATTTGGATTTTATTAATATTAACCATAGGTCTTCCATAGTAGCATTTAGATCATAACTACAGTTGAAACCACACATATAGCACACCTCAATACCATGGCAAAAATGTAACTTATATGCTTTCTAGGTATGTGTGTGAAAAACAGTAGTCTAAATACATTGAGTATAAATGCATAAACGCTAGTTTCATCACAAAAATACTGTTCCGTTACTTATGTTTAATACATGTCTACATTAATAATATAACAATTTTCGATACAAATACACACATTTCTGCCACTATACCATGGTGCTGTTAGTGTTACCACTGTAAATCCATGGTAAATGATGACGATTTGTTGTTTAAAAAACCTTCTGACTGTCGTTGCACAGTGTTTCTGCTGTTTGTCAGCTCTGTTTCATCTGGCTTAACTGGTTTAAATCACAGTCTCATTTGTGTTCTTTGCTGAATTCAAGCGCTTCACACTGGATCTCACAGCGATGTTTAGTGGCCATGTGATTTATCAGCGAGTAAACGCATCTGCTCTAGTAAGCTCGCACTGCGCTGCCGTTTCAACTTTGATCTGAGCGGATAAATGGTCCGTGTGGCGCGCTTCAAATGAGTAGCGCTGTTTCGCTCCGCTTTTGGCGCATAAACATTATATCGAACATTTATTGAAATTAAGCAGTACAACTGTTTTAGATAACAGTAATAATATTTATTATTATTATTACTATTATTATTATTATTTCTTGAGCACCAATTCAGCATATTAGAATGATTTCTGAAGGATCATTATATCGAACATTTATTGAACTTTTGATTGAGAAATTATATCGCGATAATTATCGATTTCTCACCCAGCCCTAGATTACTATAGAAAGTACATGTAATATGTAACAAAGACACTGTAAAATAGTGTTACTGTTTGTTCTTGTGATTTTAGAGCTTCAGTGAAGCTATGTTCCTTTGTGTTTCTAAAATTTGTTTAAATGTACTTTTATAGGAATGAAGTTTGATGTGATCAGTTTCGGTTTGTGTGTTTTCTAACCTGAGAGTTTGTTGTTATTTGGCGCTGCTTGTTTCAGGGAGGAGAGGATGAGGAGGAGGGAGAGCATTTCAGTGATGAAGAGGCCTCACGTCCTGCCGCAGAACCGAAGCCCACTGCAGATGCCCCGACAGAAGAGCTTGGTGAAAAGGAGGAGAGAGATGGAGTGGGCAAGGAAGTTAAATCTGATGAGAAGGGCAATCTAGCTGGGGAGCGACAGAGTGGGGATGGACAGGTATGGAGGAACAGAACATTGCATCTTCTACTATAAATTTCTGGAAGGGCTCAGGTTCTGTTTGTGTGGTGGGACTGACATTTAAACACTTTGTTTTGCTGGAAACACTTAGCTTGAAATAAAACAATCCCAAATAATTAAAACAATCCTTTGACAGATTTCAAGCAGTTGGCCAGAATGCCACATTCTGGACTAAGACCATGCTAAATCACACTGCTTGTATGTAAATCCCTTTTAAGCCAAAACTGAAGCTGAGACCTCTAAATGTTTACAGGAAAGCACAGAGGACCCTGAGAATATATCAGGCAGCAAAGGCCAGAAGCTTGACGATGATGAGGACAGGAAGAATCCAGCCTACATCCCCCGAAGAGGCCTTTTCTTTGAGCATGACGTGAGAGGCCAGGCTACAGAGGAGGAGAGGTGAGAGACGTGAGGGTTTTTCTTTCAGGGAAAAATCCCTTTCCAAGACATTTTAAGTAATTAGTTGAATTTGTCACAAAGCCATGTGGTTCATAGTTTCATTTTGTGCTGTTTCTTGCTCCCCCTGTTTGTCCATCTGTCATCAGGCCTAAAGGCAGGCACAGGAAGTTGTGGAAGGATGAGGGCCGATGGGAACACGACAAATTCCGTGAAGAGGAGCAGGTGCCAAAATCACGTGAAGAGCTAATTTCTCTCTATGGTTATGACATCCGCAATGGCACAGGGCCGAGTGACGGGCGGTCGTACCGCTCCCGAAAACCCAGGTGAAGCCCATGTTTATTTCTTTGCAGTTTGGAATTGAGTGCTATTGGTAAAATATAACTTTAGTTGTTGTACTTATAGTTTTAGGTATGCGTATGTACTAGTGATGGACTGACAAACTATCCAGGTTGATTATTCAGCTGTATTTAGCCATTTTAAAAATGTGTTTTAGAAATGTTACCGCCGCTTTCTCAATTTTTGATAAATAATAAACCATTTCAGTTTCTGAATTAAATTTGATTAAAAAAATTATATATTATTTATAAGGAATAAATTAATTATTTTAAAATAGAAAAGTTTTTTTAAATTGTAGTAATTTTAGTTTTACTCTTTGTACTGTATTTTTGATCAAATCAAGCATATTAGTGATGTTAAAAGACTTTCATAAACATAAAAAAAAAAAATTCTTACTAACCACAAACTTTTGGCCACATTTTTTATTAATCATACTTATTTCCTAGATATTTGTAACAGCCAGTTATGTAATGAGTTACCCACTAATATCTCCATATTTCTTTGCAGACATGCGGGTTCGCCCAGTCGAGAGCCGAGGCGCCATCGTGACGGTGAAAAGTCAGTTTGTACAACATGGCAGGCGCCTCCACCTGGCCACCGCAATACCCCTCATTCTGTTCCCCTACAGTCAGGCCCACCTCCTGCTCCCCCTGCAGCACCCAAACCCTCCAGCCGACCCTCGACTCAGCCTCCCCAGCGCAGCTTCCAAAGCAGTCGTGCCCTGTCGGCCTCCCACAGGACAGAAGGTCAAAGACACTCGAAACCCAGTCTAGACGGCCCGCCACCTCGAGGAGTGCGGCCACAGCCTGTAGAGAGTGAGAGGGGCCCGAGGCTCAGGGGCCGAGGCTCACATGCTGTTCACGCTGAGCGTAGCCCGGCCATGGTGGTGGAGGACGTCCGCAGTGAGGAAGATGAGGAGGAGGGTGAGATTCCAACAGCGACAACTACATATACTGCTCACCACTACAAGACGGAGAGAGAGAGGGTTCCGTCTCCACGGAAACGAGAGTCGGGCCCAGTGATGGAAGGGGGCAGTGCAGCCGGTCAGGTGCGAGAATCGTCGTCTCCTCAAGAGAGGCCGGTGGAAAAGAAATCGTACTCTCTTGGGCGGAGGGCGACGCGAATGCGACCGTCTGATCTCGGTAAGCAGGCGTCATTAGATGAGTCTTCTCCCGCGGTCCAGCAAGCCCCAGCGGCAGCAAAGAGCGAGTCGTGGCAAGAGCAGAGTGATGCTGGAACACAAGGTGGACTGACAGGCCTCGACCAGGACCTGGCCCGACTCAGCCTGGCGGGGCAGAACTGGACCCAAAGCGCACCCTCCTACCTGCAGGCCGAGATGAGAGGTAATACTTAATCTTTGTGTAATTAGGTTGTTTTACAACTTTTTTTTTTTTAAAGTTGGTTTACATTTTCTGCATTTTTGTCCCCAACAGGCATTCGTAGCTCCATGCACATGGCAGGAGGCCCTCCACAGTATGGAAACATGGAGGATATGGTGAGTCAACCGGTCCATCAATAATTGCCTATATAGATCAGAAAAAGTGATAAAAATGAAAAATCACTATCTATTTTCCAGATGCGAGTTTAGATGTTATTTTGAATTATTTATTCATGTACTGTATTTTCTGAAATCATCTGAAATGTGCTGATTTTTAATGCATAGCAACTTGTATAATGCAGTTAACATTAAATATATAATTTTTACTGAGAAAAGTTATATTACTTTATTTGTTAAATGCATTTCCCTCACGCAGGTAGTTTGTTTCGCTTAAATTCATTAAGCCACTATAATTTGTTTGTTTGATTTTTGTTCCCGTTTTGTTCTAAATCTTAGGGATATAATGATATCAAAATCTCACGATACGATAATACCTTGATATGAAGTCCATGGTATGATATTGTGATTTAAAAAAAAAAAAAAGAGACTAAAGACGTGGAAAAAAATGAACATTTTGTACAATTTAAAGTTAAATTATTCTATTTAATGCACTTTAAGAGTTCAAAATTAAGAGCTCCAACCCATGTTCTTAACTAAGAAAACCTAAGTCAGTGAATTGATTTGTACCTGAACTTTAAAGGGGACTCGGTTTTAGTTCATTTGACAGATACTGTGCCAAAGCATAATGGCCCAAAACACACCTTAAAAGACCTTTTATGTTTGAATAAGAAGTTTAAATATTTTTAAAAAACTACGCTTTTTGCCTGGACAGGCCTATCGTTTCATACCGTCATGGAACCACAATGATATCGATGATATGCTGTTTAATTTATAGGATTTAAAATGTGGAGTGCGGGGAACTACAATCAATGTTGACTACAGGCTAAAGGGTGATATGTCAGCAGCCATGTCACCCTGTAGCCCAAGACTGGTCGTCCACTGACGCTAAGCAGGGTTGAGCCTGGCCAGTACCTGGATGGGAGACCTCCTGGGAAAAACTAGGTTGCTGCTGGAAGAGGTGTTATTGAGGCCAGCAGGGGGGGCTCACCCTGTGGTCTGTGTGGGTCCTAATGCCCCAGTGTAGTGATGGGGACACAATACTGTAAAAAGCACCGTCCTTCGGATGAGACGTTAAACTGAGGTCCTGACTCTCTGTGGTCATTAAAAATCCCAGGATGTCCTTTGAAAAAGAGTAGGGGTGTAACCCCGGCATCCTGGACAAATTCGCCCACTGGCCTCTGACCAACATGGCCTCCTAATCATCCCCATACACTGATTGGCTTCATCATTCTGTCTCCTCTCCACCAATAAGCTGGTGTGTGGTGGGCATTCTGACGCAATATGGCTGCCGTCGCATCATCCAGGTGGATGCTGCACACTGGTGGTGGTTGAGGAGATTCCCCCCCTTTCATGTAAAGCGCTTTGAGTGCCCAGAAAAGCGCTATATAAATGTAACAAATTATAATGTTTGTAGTGTTTATAATGCTTGTATGTTTCATTGTATTTAGTTATTTCTAAATATTGTGAAATATGACTTGCACACTGCAACATATCTTTTATATTTTCCTCTATATATTTGCAAGTTATTTTCTGGAAATACAGTATGTAACAACAGATTTGACCTCCTAATTTAATCAAAGTCTCTCTGGTCATTTGATCATTTAATTGGCTTAAACCTGTCCCTGCAAGCTCACATTCATCTGCCTCTGATTTAGAGTGCAGCTCCCACATCTCAAAAGCTAATCATCAACCGATGCATAAAAATCCCCTGCATTTACTTTTTGAAAATCCATTACACTCAGATGTATGTTACAGTATGGGTGAAAAGATCTGTCGCTACCGCAGTTTCATCATGACTTTAACATGAGTCTTAAAAGTATTTGAACAATGATTGAAACAAAACTAATCTGAACATTGCCTGAAATTTTGTATTGCAAGCACTTCCCACATTTATTTGCCTCTCTATGATGAATCGCTTCTTGTATTCCTCAATTGTAAGTTGCTTTGGATAAAAGCATCTGCTAAATGAATAAATGTAATGTAAATGTATTTTCGTTAAAGGTCAGTTTAGCAAATGTGTATGAATTTGCTGATGAAAGTTGTAAGCTACGACCTTGTTTCATCTGTTATTTCTTGTTATCAGGGTGTTGGTGGTGGCCGGGCTAAGCGGTATTCATCACAGCGCCAGAGGCCAGTTCCCGAGCCTGCACCCATGCACATTGGAGTCATGGAGGGCCATTTTTATGAACCCAGTGAGTGCAGTACTGCTTTTGGCCCATAGAGGGTTTTTAAGTTAAATGGGTCACGGGAATGTGTCCTAAAATCACCCACTGAGTAGTAAAACTTATAGTTAGTCCTTCATTTTAAAATTCAAGTGCTGTTAATTTAGGGAATGTCATTCTTATTTATTTTTTATTTTTGTGGCCGAACATCCAAGATAATAACTTGCATTTCCGCATGCAGTGTCTTTCCAGGGACCAATCTACGCGCACGGGGAAAGCCCAGCGGCCCTGCCCCCTCAAGGCATGCTAGTTCAGCCTGAGATGCACCTGCCACACCCCACCCACCCTGGACACCCAGGTGAGAGTTGTGAACATCTGCAGACTTCTAGTTGAAATGAGTTAATGGCCGCATAATCAGTAGCTCTTTCCGATTATTTATTTATTTCCCCCCCCCCTAAAATTCAAATAATAAACTCCTGTTATGTTTAAAAATGAGTGGGGGTGCAAGAACAACTTTTAGTAATCAGACAAAAGGGACTCAAAGTATAATTAACGCAGGCACTTCTCTTGAAAGGGATGGTGAAGCGGTTGAAGCTAAGCTAACAGATGAAGACGAACAGAATGTGGTTCACGTTGGACTTGAAACTCTTAGTAGGCAAACCAGTGATTTGAGAAAAGAAAAACTGATCTGAGACTATTTAAAGAAGAATTCAAGAGTAGCATGAAACAGGTGTTCACCCAATTAAAACAAGATGTTACTGTCTGCTCATTTACTTTTCTGTTTGTGTATTGCCATACCTGCAAACTCATCACTTTTTGGCAAAATTCACTGACTTTGAAATTCATGCAAAACTAAGGATTTTTATTTTTTTGAGGGTGGGTGGGTGTTATATGAATGTATATCTGAAGGGAACTTACTGTCTTCAGAAAAGTTTTGATATTTTGTTTTAATCATACCAAAATATGATGAAGGCATGGTAATAGCTGTATTTTACTTACATACGTACACCTGCTGTCAGAGAGTGAATTTGCTTTTTTGCTCAGACCAATTATAACATGCAGAATCATTTATTAGGCTGAAATAATAAGAGATTTATCATTTATAAACCTTTTTGTCAAAACTTGTATTATCTAAACTGCAATGTTTTTTTTTTTTAAATCATACTTTTTATGATCAGTTTACAGTTTAGGTTTCACCATAGACATTGGTGTTGTTTTAAAAGAATGTTGCTAAATACTATTCTAACATAATCATTTCTGACCCTATTTCAACTGCTTTTTACAATATATATATATATATTTTTTTTTAATTTAAAAAAAAAAAAATCCACCAACCTATTACCTTTTCCCTGGTTTGGAGATTGCAGGTATGATTGGACTGAAAGTCCGTATGAACTAAATTCACCCGATCTATTTTCTAAATGCATGTAATTTGATTTTATTGGGGTTGATTCATCCATGCATGTTGCATTTATTTATTTATTTTTTATTGATTTTGAATACAGGACTCTTGTCTGCAGTTGACCACAAGCCTGCATTCAGATCTTCCTCCCATCTAACAACCAATGGATAAAACAAAGTTCCCACTCAGGGTTTTTTGTTTATTTTTTTTTATATCATTGCATTCGGAAGTACGTCACAGTACAGAAGAAAATATCTCTTGCAACTTCAGTTTTCTCATGTTTTTTGTCACTCCAGATGTTGCATCAACATTAACCTGTTAAGTGTTTTGCTGCGTTTTGTTTCAGGCTTGCACCCGCACCAGTCAGGAGGGCCCATGCCCAATCCGGCTCTTTATGCAGCCCCACCCGTTTCTATGTCACCTGGGCAACCGCCTCCACAGCAGCTGCTACCTCCACCCTTCTACCCCCCGCCAGGTGTGATGACCTTTGGGAACACCAACTACCCGTACCCTGCCGGAGCTACGCTACCTCCAATCTACCCCAACCCCCAGGTGAGCCTGTTGACTCTAAATAAGTGTTGTCTGTATCCTGTGACACACTCCAGTAGTACAGCAGAGAGTATGACGGGGGTTTTGTGCATGCGTCTCTCTCCAGGCACAGTCACAGGTCTACGGTGGTGTGACGTACTACGACACGGTACAGCAGCAAGCTCAGCCCAAACGCTCCCCGCCCCGACGCTCCTCTCATCCCGTTACAGTCAGACCTCCCCCTCCTGAGGTAACAGCATATTAAACATTACATCATTCATTACTTTCATCCAGGAGAGATCAGTCGGGTTGTTTGAATACCTGTTTGGTTACCTGCTGATATTAGAATTGGTTTTCATTTTCTCTTATGTTTAGATTTACCTTTGCAGTGATCTAACAATCCCTTCATCTTTAAAAACACCTATAATGTAATGTTCTACTGATAGGTGAAGCTCCTCTGTCAAGTTCCTTTGACTGTTAAACATATCCTGTTCAACTGTAGTTTTTATAATACTGCCAGAAAATGTTTTTATTCAGAAACATGTTTAAAGGGGTCATATGATGCGATTTCAAGTTTTCCTTTCTCTTTTGAGTGTTACAATCTGATTGTGCATAGATAAGATCCCTGAAGTTGCAAAGACTCAGTCTCAAAACCAAAGAGATATTCTTTATCAAAGTTAAGACTCTGCCACGCCCCCCTAAAACGGCTCGTTCTAACACGCCCCCACATATCTATGTCACTATGTGGAAATATTTGCATAATGACGCCCAAATGTGCACGCAAAGAAAGAAGGCGTGGTTTCAGTAACCGCAGTTAGTGTTGATGCAGCATGTCAGGGAGACGCTGTGTGTTTCTAGGCGAAAGCAAAAGCACTTTATTTGGCCTTCCAGAAGTAGCATTTAGGAATCTTTAAGATTACTTGCAACAGAACAGTAATGCATTTTATGGACGACCGTTTCGTGAACCTAGGAGAGGAGATAATTCTGACTTTGCTATGTATTTTGTAATCCATAACCTGAATACATTTTAGATTTTGTCTTCTAAAACATTTCAACTTGATATGATAATTTAAAATGTTATGATGCTGACATTGTGTTGGCCATGTAAATAGCCCCGATGATAACATGGCATTAAAAAAGTAATAAACCTAAACGTATAATTTAATGACACTGTTAATGTAATCTTTAGTAAATCTCTAAATAAATATATATTTTGCTGCTGTGCATTATAATGTTGCGATATCTAAATTCACTTGTAGTATTTAAAAAACAAACAAACATATGTTTTAGGTAAAATAGTATAGAATTTTATTAATGGCCATTTTGTCAGTTATCAACCATATGAAAATACTTACCAGCTTATTGTATCAGCCAAAATTTTAATAAGTGCAGTTTACTTTAATATTGTAGATAAAGAGAAAAAATTAAAAGAACAATTCAACATTAGTTCAATTATCTATATACTTGTATTGTTTTTTTGTGAAGTAAAGATTATTGGAGTGTGTTTTAGAAGAAAATACTATTTCAGTTTTTCTACTTAAAATCCTCTAACTTGTACTTGTTTCTTTGTAACTGAAATTTACTAGCATTTTTTAATTGCAGTTTTATTTGTTTGTTTGTTTGTTTATTTTTTGGCCCTGTTCATTCATGGGTTTTGTCTTTTGTTCAGTTCTCCCATCTGATAAATGTCTCCATTTTTCAAAGATGTCTTCATTTTTCAAAGAGATGAAATATGAGCAATATTAGTCATGCTAAAAAGCATTCTAGTCTGTAAACTCAGAGAACAGTCGACGCTGTGTTTGTGTGCGTTGCTGCCTGTGGTTGTGCAAGACCAATTTAAGATTTGCTTTCAAGTTAACAGATAAAGCATATATTTATGTACACACACTCCCATCCATCCCTCCATCCATCCATCCATCCCTCCCTCCATCGATCCCTCCCCAATCATCCCTCCCTCCATCCATCCCTCCCCAGTCATCCCTCCCCAGTCATCCCTCCCCCATCCATCCCTCCATCCATCCAATCATCCCTCCCTCCATCCATCCCTCCCCAATCATCCCTCCCTCCATCCATCCCTCCCTCCAATCATCCCTCCCTCCATCCATCCCTCCCCAATCATCCCTCCCTCCAATCATCCCTCCCCAATCATTCCTCCATCCATCACCAATAATTAAAACAATACTGAGAAGGAGGGAAAAATTACTTTATTTGTTGAGGTTAGAGGAAAGTAACATATAGAAGAAATGACTAATCTGTTTTTTTTCCTTTTTAAAGTATGATAGAAGGATTATCAGTTTACATTATATTTATAGAGATTGTTAACCGCTGATTTGTGGTTTGATCTTTTCCCATCTGTCAGGACCAGAGCAGAAATGCCGCTGAGGAGATTCGCTCCTAGCTGACAGAGGACGAGGAGGCCGCCGCGTGTCAGGACCAGCACCGCTTTTGTATAAATTGAATTCACCATTTAGGTTTTAACTGTAGTTTTTTGTTTTGCTCGTTTAATACTGTTTGTGTATTCACTATGCCTTGCTTAGGTTCACTGTCTTCATCCAAGGTTATGTTTGCGGGTTGCTCCAATCTGTTGTATTTCCATTCATAACCAGCAAAGTGTTTACCGCTATCTGCTGTTCAGCTAGGAATTAAATGTGCAGTCTTACACAGCGAGATGTTTTAGTTTTCACTAAGCAACTCCTGTATCTCTGGTCTCTAACAGACGAGAATTCTAATTGTACAAGACTGCTGGACTTTTGAATCGAGTTTGTTTTAAACCTCCTTTTACTCTGTTGGGCAAATAAATGTTTTTATTGAAAACGGGAAAAGCAGTAAGACAAACTAGTGTGTGAAAGATGGACCTGCATTATTAATTCTGGACTTACGGTCCCTGATTCAAAGGTTAAAATATAGTCTCAAATCAGTGTCCTGCTTCAAAAGGAGCTGTCAAGCCAGCAGATGGTAATGACGTACATGGTAATGACCTTCAAATGCACAAATTTAAGACCTTTTTTGGGCCAAATTAAGGCTCTTTTAGCATGTTTTTTTTCTTTTCCGTTTAAGAGAGCTGTACCATTCTGACTGCTTAACCTGCCGTGATGGTGCTAGTCCCATTTCAGACTGATCAATCCTCCTTCCTCCGTCTGTCCCGCTGTCCCTTGTATCTTTTGACATTGTACTGTGTTGAATTCAGTACTGTAATTCTATCGAAGTGAACCGTTAACCTTGCCAGATACTGACCTACTTGACAGTGTAACTCGCTTGATTGGCTTTCTATTGTAAGTGTACATATTAAAGTATATTGAAGCCAGTGGTTTAACGAATAATACTAGTCATTTATGAAGTGCTGTCAATATGAACAAAGTCAGCAGGGAACCTAGCCTAGGCCTGTCTTTCATTTTAAATATCATTTCTAAAATTAATTTGGAGTTATTCTATGTTTTTCTTTTTATAAATAGTTATGGTTGCAATTGGTTTCTTTCAGGCACACTGTACAGGCATGCATGGTTTTATAGGTATATTTCTTTGTGAAAGCAATTCTAGATGGCAGATTTGGCTGTGAGCTGTTATTCTTCGCCCCACTGTGGGAGTGCTATGGATGCATCTTTTTCAATTGTTCCCTTTATCATTGTTTCCGATGAAAGAAAAAAAACCTAACAGTATAAATGAGATGTTGTCATTCCCAGCGTTGTTTAGACATGGCTCATAAAGACTATTAGAAGATGTTGTATTACTTTCTATGCCTTAAAGAGTTAATTTGGTTTGACATATCTGTTTTTGTTTGATTAGACCTGACGACACTGTGAGGGCTTGTATGTTTCATAGTTGTTTGAATAATATTAAAAGTGTTTAATTTTTGCGATTTTATTTTGTGGAGCAATGTCAGGAGATGAAATTAAACAAAAACTGAATATAACATTTAACTTGTCCTAGTTTTAAAAATTATTATTCTTTATATTTAAACACATTCACATATTGTTTCCATAATTCAGTATTGACTCATTGTATGTTTAAATGGGAATGCTTATTTCCTCCGTTTTTACATTATGATTACATTCATCATAGTTTAACAATATTGTTAGGATGTCATCTTTAGCTAATATTAAGTTATTCTGTATATTAAAGCGTTGTAATGCCTACGTTTACTAGTAGCTTTTTAAAATGACTGATTATAAAGTTATTCATTTATAAATAGTAAAATGCAATTTAGTTTTATTTCTTTAACTTTTTAGACAATTACTTTAGACTTTTAATGTCAGCTATATTGTCCATAACGATTATCAATATACTTGTAATGTTATTTAAGTTGTAAATAAAGATTGCTTGAGTATGTTTTGGAAGAAAATACCATTTCAGTCGTTCTACTTAAACGTCCTCATTTAATTCAGTGTTACTTGTTTCTTTGTAACTCTGACATTTACTATCAATTTTTACTAGTATGCATTTATTTGTTTGTTTGTTTAGACCCTGTTCCTTCACCAGCTTTGTCTTCTGTTCAGTTCTCCCATCTGATAAATGTCTCCATTTTGCTTCATTTTTCAAAGATGACTTTGAAATATAAGCAATATTAGTCGTGGTAAAAAGCATTCTAGTCTGTAAACACAGAATGGTCGACCGTCCCAGCGTTTGTCTGCGTTGCCGCCTGTGGTTGTGTGCTAAACTCTGACTTTGCCAAAAGCGAAGCGTCGCCTTCTGCCGCATGCAACCCTGCCAAGAGGGAGTGACTGATGCGGCGGAACGCACCGCTGCTGCCGCTTCAACTCGTTTATAGCAGCGGGCCTCCAAATTACACTGCAGCCGCTATGAGAGCCATAGTCAGACGAGCTGCAGCCGTAATTTTGGTATTCTTTGAGTTTATTTGACATTTTTCTTTGGATTTATTGTCGTTAACGAGGTATTGCCGCGTTTGCAACTGTTATTTAGAGGAATAAATAATACAACTTTTGTTTCAGAGGCCATAACGTGCATGCAAATTCAGGCGGCTTTAATTGCACCACTAAACATGCGTAGCCGGTTTTAAAATGTACGAGAAAGGTTAAATTACAGATGATTTCAGCAGTGAAATGTGAAACCAAACCAATAGACTTCTGTGGAAGTAGAATTAGGTCAGGTTTAACTGTCACTGTCAGTGCTTCAAAATGTCCACTTGGGGGAACTAATGTCTTTATTCTTCACTGCTGCACTGTCACAAATCTCTTACAGGGACTCCACGCTACAACTTTGATCTCAGCAGTGTTCATACCAAATAATAAATGTTGCAGTAGCTGAATTTTTTCCCTATAAATCTTCGTTTTTATATATTTTCCATCTTCAGTTATAATTCAGCTTAATTGCTTGCTTGACTGATTTATTTATAATACAAATGTTCTCAAATGAGTTGTAAGGTAGGCTATTTAAAAATGTGGACCTGTCAATCAGTGTTGTAATTGTAAATTAAAACTTTAAAATCATTCTGATTAATTGAGTTAAAATAAAATAACATAACTTAAAATGCTTAAAGAAAATGAGAAATGTTGCATTGGTAACTAACTGAAATAAAAGAAAAAAGAAAAGAACAAAAATTTAAAAGCTTAAATGACAGTTCTGAATTAAAAATGTAAAAATAAAGCTAAATAGAAATATTTAAAAAAATAATAAATGTTATGAAACCGTGAATTTAAATGAATATATAAAAATGAAAGTTAATTCAAAATATTAATAAATCCTATAAAATAATAAAGTCACAATGCTGTTCAGATCAGAACAATCTTTTAACCTAAAACAGGGGTCTTAAACCCTTTGGTGGACAGAGAGATACTGAGTTTTGCATTTGTTGTCATCTGGCCTATAATAACATCCATGTACTACCATATTAATTTACAGTTTATGATGCTTTTGTGAAATCATTAAAATAATCACTATTTAGAGTCATATTCTTGTTGATGTTTGCATTACATTTACATTTTACTTAATACATTTTAATGAAATATTTAGCTTTTTAGCTTAGTTAATATATATATATATATACAAGAAATTTTTTACAAGACATTTTGTTTAATTCTTATAATTCTCTTTGTGTTATTTCATAGGTTTGATGATCTTACTATTATTCTAAGCTGTAGAAAACCATGACAAAAGAATGAGCAAATGTGTCTAACCCTTTGACTTGTACTGTACATGAAAGTTATCAACTTAAAAAAGATTCGTCTTCACTAGAAGACTATAAATAGTCTCAGTTCAGAGTAACCCATGGCCTTTATCAGAGTGTGAACCTCACTGGGTGCTTCTGAATTCACACTTGGCTTCTTAAGGCCATCAGCTGCTTCACCAAACCAATCATACTTGCAAAGTGACTCAGTTTGGGCCACCAATTATATTATAAACGATCAAATTATCAAGTGATGATCCTACTGCTGGAAACAATGGCTGCTGCATGAATCTTCTTGACTACAGCCTACCAAAACGCACCCTCTTCTGCCTCTTGAATCATCATAATGTGATTATTATGCACAGCAGTTGAAAGGAACAGTGAAACTGCTCATAGTCTCACTGACCTACTTATAGAAGTATTTAGTCTAGTGCATTCACTCTTTTGTGAAGCACGCTGGGTAGAGCATGCCTACACTATTGTTTACGGGTTCATGTTACAAAACATGTGAACTGGTGAGTAACAGTCCTGCGTCACTGCTGAAAGGGTGAAACAGGAAGTTGAGGGTTTTGTATTATCAGATTTCTTATTTCAATCTTAGTTTCTCAGGGTGAATGTAGAATAAAGCTTGCTAGGGCAATCATAGCCTACTAGTATTTCTCGTATTATTGAATGGGGATTTGTTTAAACCGATGAACCTAAGTGTTAAACTTTAGCTAAACTGAATGATACCTCAAACTGTGTGGCATGTTGAAGAAAAATGCTCCTGTGTGATTTTTACCCAGCAGATAATAAAAAAGCTAGAAAATCCTAGATTTGAAGGAGGGACCCGACACACAAAAAGTCTTTTCACTCTTGAAATAGTAAATCATGGGTTATTTTGTTTCACATTTCACACTATACGTACTTATAGGGTTAACAATTAACCCTGGGTATGTATAATCCGATGTTTCACACAGTACATTCCTAAACGCTGAGTTAATGTTCTTATTTGCATATTTGCAGTGTCAGCGTTATTGATTGGATGAATGCAGCCTGCGACTTGCTTACATAAAGGCTCTAGCATTGAACATCCTCATATAATATTGCCCACTGTACTGTCTTTTTTTTTTTCCCGAATGGACTTTTCGTACTATAAAGGTAAGAATGTATGGAAGGCTGATAGGGCCAAAAGTCTTTAAAAGGAACGTGTGAAAATCTGACCATGTCAGCACGGACTGGTTGTCTGCTTTAACGCAACAACACACAGCAGCCAATGAGGTTACTGTATTTAAGACTATATTTGCGTGTCTAGATGGTACGTTGGTATTTATGTATACAACACATCAGGCCTCATGTTTATTCATGAAGGATGTTATAAAGGTACACTTGTACGCAAACATCAGACATGATGTCAGTCTTATGTCTTGGTTTGACGTCCTTTTTAGTCATTTAGTTCAATGTTCTTTCTCAGGTAGAAAAGCCTCAATTTACATTGTAACATTAATTAATTTACTCTAGCAGAGTTTATATCAGTCAAACAATGTTGCAATAAGCTAAAATAAAGAATTAATATGTCGGCAAATTTGCTTTAAAGGGGTCATGAACTGTGAAACCAAAATTCCCTTGATCTTTTGACACATAAGAGGTCACTGTACTATAAAAACATCTTGTTAGTTTCAGAACTCAAAACTTTCTCATTAGTCTAAAAGCTTATATTGAAGGCAGCCTGCCAAAACGACAGCTTGTGGAATGTTCTAAATAAGCTAAAAAGCTAAATAATGTTGTGGAATAAGCACTGCCTCCACAGAAGAAGATCAACACCTGCTTCTACATCACTGCTTTAGCCCCGCCCACCGATTAACGCATGTAGTGTTTACGAGAGAGGCAAATACAGGTCTACGCAGAATCCAAACGATAAAGATGGCTCTGTAGACAGCAAGATGCTGTGCAGTGCTAAGTTTTGGGAAACACTGTCTTTGCATTGCCTTCCTTCTGATCCCAACGTTAAGAAAGAGTGGATGAACTTTATTTTTCTATACCACGTCAGTAAGAACTTGTTCCTTTGTTCTCTTCATTTTACCACAGATTCGTTTACAAACAAGGCACAATTCGACGTGGGATTTTCAGAAAGACTGAAACTAAAAGATGATGCTGTGCGACTATATTGGATTGGTAACATGGTAAAACTGTGATTCTTAACACGTACTGCAGGAACATGGTGAAAACTGATGCCTTAACACGGCCAGTATGTGCATGTCTACACATACAAAAGAGTCACGTTCAAAACTGACAGGCAGTGCGTGGTGACATAGTGAAATTTCAAGCTTTCCGTTTCAACACTTTTGGCCCCGTCTGCCTTCCATAAAAGTGAAACACTGTCTTCTTCAATTCATTTGAATCATTTTCTGTCACCATTTGGCCATTTCCCCCTCAAATGCTAAAACTACTGTTTATAAAATGTGTGGTGTTTCTGTGACTGTCCAACACATGTGAATATGAGGCATGCGACTGGGTGTGTGTTGCTAAGCATCTAGCTGTTGTATTCTTGCAGTGCATCATTTCACACTGCACAAGTTTGTCCTGCTTCTAAGCAGGGTTTTATAACCCTGGCCCTGGGTAAAAATGCGGTGCTTACTCTGCTTCTAAATAACAAGCATGAAATGTCCCTCTATCCTGGGCTAAAAGCAGGATTTAAAATGATGATAGGGTTAAGCGCAGTGTAAAAAGCCATATAGAGGCCAAAATATT